AAGGAAGGTACCCCAACATAATAAAGACATATATGTATGACTAGCCCACAGTTAACATCATAATTAGGCATGAAAGATGAAAGCTTTTCTTCTAAGATTAGAAATAACTCAAAGTTGTCCACACTTACCACTTCTATTCAACATAGTACCAGAGGTCTTAGCTAGAGCAATTATAAAAAAATAAGCAAACAATAAATAAAAACATCTGTATTGGAAAGAAAGATATTAAATTGTTCCTGTTTGCAGATGGCATGACCTTATATACAGAAAACTGCAAAGACTTCACCAAAACACCTGTTTGAACTAATAAGTAATTCGGTAAAATTAAGGTATATAAAATCAACAAACACAAATTAGTAACAGTTTATACACTAACAACAAACTACCCAGTAAAGGAACCAAAAAATAATCTAGTGTACATTAACATGAGAACAAGTAAATTTCTTAGGAATTGAAGACCTATACACTGAAAATTGTAAAACATTAATGAAAGAAGTTGAAGAAGACATAAATAAATGGAAAGATATCCACACTTATTGTTTATAAAAACTAATATAATTCGTGTCTATATTACCCCAAATGAACTACAGATCCAGTGTAATCCCTATCAAAATTCTAATGACATTTTTCATAAAAGTCAAAAAATAATTCTAAAATATATATGGAACCATAAAACCCTGAATAACTAAACATAACAAAATTGGAAACATTACAGTGTCTGATCTCAAAATTTACTACAAGTTACAGTAATCAAAATAGTATGGTACTAGCATAAAAATGGTGAAGGACCAATGGAGCAGAACAGAAAGCCCTGAAATAAATCCATGCATATATGGCCAATTGATCCTTTATAAAGATGCCAAGTACATAAATGGGGGAAAGGACAGTCTTTTTAGTAAATGATGTTGGAAAAAATGGAAATTCACATACAGAAGCATGTAAGTGGACCCTTATCTCACACCATGTACAAAAGTCAACTAAAATGGATTAAAGACTTCAATGTAAAGTCTAAAATTGTGAAATACTAGAAGAAAACATAAGGTAAAATTCCTTAAGAAAGAAATCTTGGCAAAGATTTTTTGGCTTCTGATCCCAAAAAGATAAGAAGTGGAAGCAAAATAAGACAAATCGAATTGCATCAAAAATCTTCTGTACAGCCAAGGAAGTAGTCAACTTAATGATGAGACAACCTATGGAATGGGAGAAATATTTGAAAGCCATACATAGGACAAAGAGTTAACAATCAATATATATAAGAAACTCAAAACTCAATGGAAAACAAATAGTCTATCAGAAAATAAAAATTTTAAAACATTAATGAAAGAAATAATTCATAAATAAGTGAAAATATATCCATGTCCATGGATTTGCATAGATAGTTGGATAGTAAAAGAATCATACCATAGTAATATATGGGCACCCATGTTTATAGCGGCACAGTTTGTAATAGCTAAAACTTGGAAACAGTCCAATTGCCCATCAACTGGAGACTGGATAAAGAAGATGTGGGTTTAAAAAAAGATGGAATACTATTCAGCCATAAAGATTGAGAAACTAGAGACATTTATAGCAAAATGGATGTACATTGAGGCGATACTCTTAAGTGAAATAAGTAGGACACACATATGTAAATACCAAATAGTTTCTCTGGTGTGAAAGTGTAAATGAGGATCAAAATGTATAATATGTAATATGAAATATAGGAAGCAAATGTCCAAAGGGGAAGGAGAAGGGGAAGGGGAAGTGGGAATGGTAGGGAAAAAGAAAGAAGGGAAAGGAAAAAATATGAGAAAAGGAAAAAATGGAAACAAAGTTTTTGCAAATAGGGAGGGGTAGAGGGGTTGAAGGCAGTGCAGGGGAATGGGGAAAAAAATAAGAACCAAGATATATCATGTAAAGGTACAAATTCCCAATGATGAATGCCATTGTATACCTAAAATGTACCAATAAACTTAATGAATTAAAAAAGGAGACAGGCAAATGACCTAAAATCATATAAAACTCAACAGCACTAATCATTAAGAAAATTTAAATTAAAACCAAAAAGAGATATCACCTCACAATTCCTAGAATAGCTAACATAAAAAACTAAGTGTAGCCAGAGATTTAGCTCAGTGGTTCAGCCACCTGCCTGGTAAGCCCAAGGTCTTGAGTTTGATCCCCGGTACCAAAAACTAAGTATAAGTGTTGATGGGGTTGGCGAGAAAAGGGAACCCTGGGTACTATTGATGAGAATGTCAATTAGTACAGCCATTGTGGAAAACAATATGGACATTCCCAAAAAACTAAAAATAGAATTACTATATAATCTAGCAATTACACTTTTGGGTATTTATCCAAAGGAAATAAAATCAGTATGTTGAAGAGAGATCTGTACTCCTGTTTTCTTGCAGCATTATTCACAGTAGTCATCAAGGAATGAATGGACAAAGAAAATGTGTTGCACATACATTTTAATACTAGTTAGCCTTAAAAAATGAAATCCTGTCATTTGTAACAACATGAATGAAATTGGAGTACCTGCTAAGTGAAATAAGCCAGACCATCAAAGCAAGCACTATACAACATGATATCACTTATACAGCATGTGGAATCTAAAAAAGTTAAATGGAGAAGCAAAAAGTAGGATAGTTATTACCAGGGATAGAGGTAAGCTATTGAGGAGGATGGGAAGATGTTGGTCATAGTGTACAAAGTTTCATTTAGACAGGGTGAATAAATTCTGTATGTCTATTGTACAGCATGGTGACTATAGTTAGTTAATAATAATAATAATAATAATAATATACTTAAAAATTGGCAAGAGAGTAGATTTTAAATGCCCCCCAAAAGATTGCTAGGTGAGGTGATAAATTAACTTGATTTAATTATGCCATAATGTATACATATGTCAAAACATCACATTATATGCCATAACTATATATAATTTTGCCAATTAAAGAACAAATAAATTATTAAAAGAAAAACCTTTATCTCCACAAACAGAAATTCTGCAACCATTAAGCAATAACTCCCCATTTTCCTCTCTCTGGGAAGCCATTCTTAGCTGCCCCTAGCAAACAGTTAAAACTCTTATGTACTTATGGAGCTCTACTTGTATATCTGTTAAATTATTCACTTTTAGTAAGGAAAATTTACATGCTTATTCCTGTCTTGAAATAGGACTAAGTATAGTTTTAATAGTTGCAAATGGCACTTGTGTGTTTTCCTTCCTTAGGTAAATAAAAATTAGAAAATGAAACTGGAGAGTAGTCTAAGATGAGAAGCAAAAGTAAATCACAAAATTATTTTTCAATGATTCAACTATAAATATTAAATGCTCCTAGTTAATCAATCATTTAATTAATTTTTGGAGTGCTAGAATTGACTCAATTCACACTGCGCTAGATCCCCAGCCCTTCCTTCCTTCCTTCCTTCCTTCCTTCCTTCCTTCCTTCCTTCCTTCTTTCCTTCTTTTCTCCTTCTCCCCCTCTCTTATTTTTAAATTTTGTGACTGGATTCTATAGCCTCTCAGAGTATTGGGATTATAGGCTTGTACAAATCACACCCAGTTTAAATTCTTTTAAAATGTCAAGTAATGAAGTGGTAAAAAAATATTTTTCTACTAAACTGGGAGATTAAATCTTAAAATGACTATTACATGAAAATCTAATATCAACTGGGAAATGAAAAAATCAAAGAACATACAAAAAATTGGACAAAGGAAATAGGCAATTCAGAACAGGAAAAATATAAGTATTTGAAGGAAAATAAAGTTGAAACACTGAAGTGAGAATAAATATGATTAATAAATAATCAGCTTCCACTTTCACCTATGAAATTTGAAAATACTTTTGTTGACAATGTATAATTTTACAAAAAAATATTTAAATTGATGAATTTTGTAAGGGAGATTTAGTCAACTGAGGTATCTGATTTCTCCTGGTAAGCAGGCAGCTATTAATGTCACCAATCAAAAGATGGATTTCTATGAATCTTTCATTAATGTAGCTATCTAATTGTTAGAATATGGTACGTATTATAAAATTATTTTGACATAAATATTTTACTCTAGAAAAATCTTTTTATTTCCAATTTTCTTTTTTGAAACAAGGTCTCACTATGTAGCACAGGCTGGCCTTGAAATTACTATGCAGCCCAATCTGACCTTGAATTTGTGGCAATCCTCCTGCCTCAGCCTCCTGAGTGCTGGGATTATAAGTGTGTATCACTATGCCTTGCTGTTCCAGAAAAATTTTTGACGACTGTTACGACTCAGAAAATAATATACTTGAAATTCAAGCTTTTCTGTACAAACATTAAATAGCAGTTGTAAAAAATAGCAGTTTGTACAAAACAAAAACAAAACAAACAAGTCAGTTGGGTGTAATAGCACAGGTCTGTAATCCTTGGGTTCTGGGAGGTCGACTGGTTAAATGTGCTTCTATGATGTGACTGTGACAGTACATGAACAGTTTTAGACTGATGGAAATATTCCTCCAGTTACTCCATTGTGCACCTATTAGTTACTCCTCAGTTACTCCATCCATCCTATATGATAGAATTTATTGTCAGGTAATAAGCATTTCATTTGAGCAAATCTTTCTTAGTACTCTAGGTAAGAAACATTATTTATAACCCTTATACATTGCTACAATGTCCAATGAGACACTGCTCTGTTTCCCACATTTTATATAATGTGGATATACTATCTTTATAAAAAAGAGGATAATTTAAAAATTCAATAATGAAATAATACATATTTATTATATCTAGTAAATTATTTTAGTCAATGACATCCAAAAGAAATCATCTGCTGGCAGTAGAGAAGTTACACTATGTGGAAATTAATTTCTATAGATCCATAAGTGAAACCTAGTTAGAATTGATTTCTGATAATTTCATCATGCTTACATACATAAAGTGAACTGTATTAATTTATATTGAAAAGCAAACTATTATCTGCTGTGAATATATATATAATATATATAATAAATATATTCTTTCCCCCAACACTGCAGTTCTTGCTCCATTTGAGAAACCCCATTATCCTGAAACAATGGAGCATCTTCAAAAAATTTCCAAGCTCTGAAACAATTCAGAACCGAACAGTTTCACCAACAGAGACTGAACTGAAAATCAGGGAGATCCTGGAGAAAATGGACCAGCTGATCCCACCCAGACCCTTTACCCATTTGAATGCCACCACTAGTGCTGCACACAGCGTGGTCACCATCCTCAACCCTCAAGACATGTACTGTAGTGGGGACCAGCTGGATGTCCTACTGGAGGCGAGGGACCACTTGGGACAGAGGAAGGAATATGGCGGGGACTTCCTGAGGGCCAGGATGTCCTCCCCATCCCTGAAGGCTGGTGCATCAGGAAAGGTGACAGACTTCAACAATGGCACCTACCTTGTCAGCTTCACTCTGTTCTGGGAGGGCCAGGTCTCCCTGTCTGTGCTGCTCATGCACCCCAGTGAAGGGGCATCAGCTCTCTGGAGGGCAAGGAAACAAGGCTATGACAGAGTGATCTTCATGGGCCAGTTTTTTAATGGCACTTCCCAAGTCCTTTCTGAATGTGGCCTGACCCTTAACTCAAGTGCTGAACTATGCCAGTACCTGGATGCTCGAGACCAAGAAGGCTTCTACTGTGTGAAACCTCCACACATTCCCTGTGAGGCTCTGACTCACATGAGCACCAGAAACAGACACATTTCCTATCTTAGCAAGGAAGAATGGAGACTTCTGCACAGGTAAACTTGACTTCAAATACCATAAGGACAATAGGAAAGTAGACTTTGAATCAGACCAAACTCTAATTGAGCTGTCTTATGTCAACTGATGTTGACTGAATTATACTCAGATACAACCTTACCAGTCAGCTCATCTAGTAGTATGCTCACAAGGCCCACGAGATCACCTATTTGCTAAAAGGAATATAACCAATGAAGTTCTGTACGTAGTATATACTTTTTGCTTTTCAATATCATCTGTAATACTTCCAAATTCAGTAATTTTTATTTTAAAAATTTTTTATTTTTATTCATTTATTTATTTTGGTACTGACGATCAAACTCAGGACCTTGTGCTTGCCAGGCAGGCGCAGTGCCACTGAGTTACATCCCCGGCCCCAAAATTCAGTAATTTTTATACACCTGCATTTATTATAATGTAGTACATGGAATACTAATCCTACCAGTATTAGTAGGGAATGTGCCAAAGAAGTGAATAGTATCATTATTCAGTTTACTTTACCCTTTAATTCAATGAATCATCAAATTCTATACTTTGTCAACTACGGCCTATCTATCCCAATTACCTCTGTCTTTGAATAAGCTATCATCATACCTCAATTAAACTATGTGACAATCTCCACCGCTGTTTTCTCTGCCCTTGTTCATATTTCTTTCAAGCTATTCTCTACACTGCACCTAAACTAATGTTCTGAAATGCACATGTGCTTTTTATTTTTCTTTGCCTAAAACTCTTAATATGACCCCATGGCTCTAAGTGTGAAATAAATTCAAACTTTAATATGTTTACAAAGACTTGCCTAATGCTATAGGCTCTTGTCTCATGGGTATACTGCTTTGCTTTTTGTCAGTCAACTTGAACTCATTTTATTTCACAAAAGGACAATATTTTCTCTCTGCTCTGGAATTCACAGCCCCCGGTTTAGAGTCAAATCCTCCAGGAAGCATTCCTATCATGGAAGTACCTACCAGTCCTATATTTTTATTGCATTTTGTTCCTTCTCAACATAACACTTATTACACCATTAGTTTCAATGTATTTTTATATATTCTGCTAAATTCAAAGTTCTGAGAAGCAATAACTATGCTTTCACATTCATTCAACTTGTAACTAATCAGCACCTTTTATATTCTAGACACAGCCCTAGGAATTAGGAATTAGTATTTTAGATAGATAGAAAGATACCAAACAAATAAATAATTTGTAGCAGAAAGTCATTGGAGTAAAGGATTGAAATGTGATGATTCATGCTATTTTAAAAGGCTCCCTTGAGCAGCAACCTGAATGAAGTGAGGGAGCAAGCCATGTGACTTTTGAGGAAAATCCATTCTCAAGAGAGAGGAGAGAACCTGAGGCAAGAGCAAACTGGAGTACTCCGAGAACCATGAGTGGGAGAGGCAGGGCCTCAGAGGGCATCTATGAGTATCAGGAAGCTTTGAGGGCCAACAATATGTCTCACAGGCCCATCACGTGACACCGAGAAGGTTCTCAATAACTGCTGAATGAAAGAGAAAGTGGAATGGAATATAAGACAATGATTAAATAGGATTCTTTGCAGCAGGACGTCTCAGAAACTTTAATACTTCCAAACAGCGATATAATATTTCCCAAACTTATTTGACTGGAGAATGCTTACTTTATGGGTCATTTAAGAGACTTTGGTTCCACAATTTGGGAACTGCTGCTATACACATGCCTTAGTTTTCTGACATACATTCAGAAGAGTTGGATAGAATAACATCCTGGAAATTCAAGTTCAAATTCAATTAAAACATTACAATGACAGGAGGGGGAAAGGCACAAATGACCCTGCATCTCTATAGGATTTCCCTTCTACCCTTTCCTTACCTTCACTTATTGATTTTATCATCAAAATATGTAAATATCCCTTATCCTATGGTCTTGGTCTCTTTTACCATCCCCAACCCTACCTGAGATAGATGAAGGAGAATAAATGTTTTGATCAGGTTCAAATTCCCACTAAGACAAATTTTAATCTTGTGCCAACGGTAGATATGATGGGAATCTCAGTAATAATAATTGTGACCATTGTTGAGCACCTACTAGAAGGTACATGCCTCCCTTCTATTGCACCTTTAATCCTCAGGAAAATACTCTGGACTGACTGTTATTATTCCCATCATAGAGATGAAGAAATTTAAGCACATACATATTAAATAGGTGGCCAGTGTCAAGCTATTGATCTAGTGAGTTGTAGAGTCATAGTTGGAATCACAATCTACCTTATTCTTAAGTCAGTGAACCACAGAACAGTCTCCCAGGACCCTCAATACTCTAGGTAGCCACCATTCTCCAGCTGCCCTCGCCTCTCAATTTTCCAGCCCTATGACATCCTTGATGAAATGTATCTTATTCTGATGATCTAAAAACTCCTTTCCTGGGATTTAGGCAATCCTTATCAGTCTTGGAAGATGTTCTCTTTATTTATCCTAGAGGTTTCTGAGATTGTGGCTCTGGAAGTCCTACCTTCCCCAAAATGGATTTCATTCTGACAGAATAAATTTGACTTGGCCAGATACAGTCACCAGTTTAATTCTTAGCACTGATATACTGAGACAACATTTACTGTGCTGGGCACTTGGAATATTACAGTGAATAACAATGGCCTGATCCCTACTCTCAAGGAGATATCAGACTATGGAAAATAGACACCTGGGGACTTGTGATGGTGAAGAATGGATGAAGCTGAAGTCGAAGAGTTAGACTCTCACAGGAAGTTGTAAGCTGGTTGGCCTTTGTCCTGTAGGTGATGTAGGTTGGTGATGAAAAATCAAGGAAAAATTTTGTATTTCAGAATAAAGCAGGCAGCAGAGAGGTTGGACTAAACTAAAGGAGCAGAAAGGTAACGTAATCATTTAGGACAGAATTCTCAGTCATGTACCTGGGCCAGTAGCTTCCACTTCACCTGAGAGTTTATTAGAAATCCAAATTCTTTTTTTTTTTTTTTTTTTTGGCACCAGGGATTGAACTCAGGACCTTGCACTTGCAAGCCAGGTGCGATGCTACTGAGCTAAATCCCCAGCCCAGAAATCCAAATTCTTAAGCCTCATCCCTGAACTACTGAATCAGAAATTCTAGGGGTAAGGCTCAGCAATCTAATTTGGACCAAATATTCCAGGTAATTCTAAGGGATGCTTGAATTTGAGGAGCACTAGCAAAAGTTGATAAGAGGCTAAGTGTAGGGCTACATGGCTATAATCCCAGCACTCTGGTAGGTTGAGGCAGGAGGATCATAAGCCAACCCTGGGTGACTTAATGATTTGGTGAGACCATGTCTCAGAATAAACAAATAAAAAGGGGCTAGAAATCTCCACTACTACTGGGGAGCTGGGCAGTTGATAGGGTTTGAATTACTATAGGTCTCTAGATTCCTAGATTCACTGCCATCAGCTAGGGATAGTTTTTCAGCATTCTGACCAATTTATTTCCCAAGATTATCTTAAATGGATTTGCTAAAAATATATTATTGCATGTATGAAAATACTACAATGAAACCCTTTATTCTGTATCATTAATATGCATTAACAAATAATAGAAAAATTTAAAAGAAAAAGGATCAAAATAATGGGGGGAAAAAAGCATTTTCAGAGAGTTTAGAGTGGTTCAACCAATCTAAACCAGTGAAACATTCTTACTCTAACATCTGGACAAATGTTAGACTAACTTATTTTCCCATTTCTTGAAGGTCCAACATAGGGATTGAAATGATGAAGAACTTTGCCTCCATCAATGTTTTACCATGTAACAGTAAGTCTAGCATGCTTTTTCCTGTGTATTTCCAATTTATTAATTTAAAAGGGTATTTGTTCTACATTGGCCACTTTGATCTCTTGTTTCCTAGGATGAATGATTTGTATATCAACCACCTTAGGTTTTAAAGAAGGGATTTTATTCTTCAAAATTATTTTTGTATCACTTTAAGCTAATTTTCATCCTGAGTCAGATATACAAGTCCAAGAAAACCAATAATTCCAGCTGCCTTCTCTCAGAATATACACGTTATTTGTATTCCCACTTACTCCCTAAAAGCCAATAATTGGGTGCTGATTCTATATAAAAATGTCTCCAATGAGATGCACAGATTCAGGGTTTAGAAATTTCTCTGGTGGATTCTAATTTCTCTTTCAGCCAAATCACCTCACTTAAAGTTTTACAAAATAGCAATTTCTGCATTTTTTTTTCAGTTTTGTCACATGAACTTTAGTGGTCAACAAAAAATTGTTTTGTTTATAAAATGATGTTTCTGATACACTAGAATTAAAGTTAATTTCAGGAAAGCAAATGATATACATTAAGAAACTTTTTAAAGCAGTACATAATGATTACATTTTTCATGGGGAATTGGTACATGTACATAACACATCCTAATTTTTTAAAGTTCCCTTCCCATTCTTCTCTCCCCTTTCCCTCTATTTGTTGTTCCCCTTCCCAAAAGATCAACTTCACTATTTCCTATCTGTCTTATTTTGCTCTTTATTTATATTTTGGGTTTGCCCCTTTGTTAAAGAGCAAGTGGCTGACTGTTTTTGGAATTTTTTCTGCATCCTATATTCTGTTCCTTTGATCCAGATGTCTATTTTTTTTCCCTTGCTAATATCATGCTTTTTTTTTTTTATCACTATTGCTTTGTAGTAGTCTATAATTTGAAGTCAGATATTGAGAGGCTTCCTGCTTTGCTCTTATTGCCCAGGATTGCTTTTGCTACTCTCTTTCCCCCCAAATAAGACCTAACCTTAAAATAATCAGCCTTGGTTTTTTTGAGACAGAGTCTACTTATGTAGTTCAGGCTGGCCTTGAACTCACTATGTAGCCCAGGCCCTAGCTCAAATTAGTAATAATCCTCCATCCATTGATTTCTAGTTTCATTGCAGTATAATCTGATAATATGCATGAGATAATTTTGATTCTTTTGCATTTATTTAAGCATTCTTCATGGGCTAGCATATGGTCTATTAAAGTCTCATGCACTGCTGCAAAGGATGTATATTCTATTGTTGAGTGGAACACTGTAGATATCTATTAAGTCCATTTGTTTGAAGGTTTGGTTCAACTTTGATATTGCTTTATTGATTTTTTTATCTAGTTGAGTTATCTATTTGTGACACAGGGTATTGAAATCCCTCTTTATAACTGTATTGGTATTTACCTGATATTTTTATGTCCAGTAGTGCTTGTATTATGAAGTTAGGAATTCCAGTGTTTGGTGCACATATATTTATAGTTGTTATCTCTTCCTGTCAAATTGTTCTCTTAATCAATATGTAGCGACCTTCTTTGCCTTTTCTGCTAAGTTTCAGCTTGATATCCACTTTGTCTGCAATTAGGATAGATACTTCTGCATTTTTCTGGGTTCCCATTGTATGGAATATTGTTTACCATCCTTTGATTTTTAATCTGTATATTTCTTTTAGGTTAAATGTATTTCTTGTAATCTGCATATCATTGGGTTTTGTTTCTTGTTCCATTCTGCCAATCTGTTTCTTTTCATTGGGGAATTGCGACCACTCACATAAATAGTTATTACTGAAAGGTATTGATGTATCCCCATTATTGCATTATTTTTCTGTTGCTAACCCCACCCCACCCCCTTAACTACTGCTCACCCTGCCTGTGTGTTCATTCTATTAGATTTTTTGGCACCATTGGCTTCCTAGGATATCCTTGAGAACTTTTGTAGTGCTGGTTTGGTGGTCATGAGTTTCTTAAGGTGCTCTTTGTCATGGAAATAACTTATTTCTCCATCAATTTTTTTTTTGGTACTGGGGATCAAACTCAGGACCTTGTGGTTGCAAGGCAGGTGGTGGAACCACTGAGCTAAATCCCCAGCCCTCTTCATCAATTTTTGAAAGATAGCTTTGCAGGATAAATATGTCTGGGTTACAAATTATTACCTTTTAAATTTGAAACAGTTCACTCTAAGCTCTCCTGGCCTTTAAGGTTTGTGTTGAGAAGTCTGATGTATCAAGTCTTTACCTTTACAAGGGATTTATTGCTTTTCTTTAATAGCTTTTAAGATTTTGTTCCTGTGTTGGCCTTCTGGTGTTTTGACTGTGATATAAGGTGAGAGGTTCTCTTTTGAGTTTGGCTATTTGGGGTTCCATGTGCCTCACTTATCTGTATGTTTAATTATTTCCCTATATTTGGAAAGTTTTCTGCTATTACTTCTGGAAACAGGTTTTTAAAATTTTCCTTTATGCTATCTTCTGATTTATGACTTATTCCAGTTTATCTTAGTTTGGTCTTCTTTGTGTCATCTAGCAGCTGTTGTATCCATTTTTCCCATTCTCTTGTTTTTTTTTTTTTTTTTTTAGGTATCTCTGAGTAACTGATCTTTAAAAGCTTCCTTACCGTCTAATTCTCATATTCTGTCTTCACACTGGTCACTTCTGTTGCCCATATGTGCAATATAATTTTTGTTTGGAACTTTTCTGTGATTTCTGTTAGGAACTTTTTCATGGACTCTAGTTCTTTGCTAAACTGGTCAATCATGTTTTGTATTGTTTTGCTTAGCTTTGCTAGCTTTTCACTAGGGTCTTCTGTAAGTTTCCTGATTGTTTTATTACCTCCATTATCTGATTATATTT